AAAGCCCCCCTTCCCTCCCCCCCGCCCCCATCTTCAAATATTGTAGTGCACATTTCACCTTAGGACTTTCTCTCTGAATTAATGTTGCATTGAAGTAGAGGGCTCATGAAGTCGTGCTTGGCCTTTCCTCCACTGTGCTAGACTTTTCAAACTATCATCAGCAGCTATTACTTGCTGCATCCCACCTTCTCTTATTTTATTTCAGGGGTGGCCAATCTGTTACCTGTATGCCATCAGTGCACAGGCAACCTCTGTAAGTGGCATGCTGCAGATGAGGGAGGGAGCAGGGAGCACAGTGCAGGTAGTACAGGGAGCAGAAAGCTGAGCAGCAGATTGGGCAGTGAGCAGAGGGCAGGGGAAAGAGACTGGAGTGGCACTGAAGGGAGCAGGAGAGGCTTACCATGTGGCCGCTACTTATACCCTGGATCCAGAGAACTGACAGTCAAATAATGAGGATGAACTTTATGGCAGCATGTCACGAATCAACCCTGGAGCATCTGCAGTTCGGAGTGTGAAGTGCATTAAAAGAAATGCAGAAAGAGAACTCAGTGTGCTGAGTCTAAAATTGTGTGTGTGTGTGTGTGTGTGCGCGTGCGCATGTGTTCATGCATGTGTAACATAAACTGGAACTCTTAGTGTATTTGCCTTCTCTTACTGTATCCACATTTGGGGGTGGCCAACCTGTGGCAAGTATACCACAAATGGCATGGGCAACCTGTGTGTGTGGCATGCAGCAGATCAGGAAAGGAGCAGGGAGTGAAGTGACAGAGGACAAGGAGGAGAAAGCAGAGGAGCAGACTGAGCAGGAAGCAGAAGGCAAGGAAGAAAGCCAGAGCCCATCTGTATGTGTGTACATGTACACACCCGTGGGAAGTAGACAAAGGAGATATAAGTAAGCAACTCACATAGATGTGCCCTTTGTGTAGCAGATGTACTATGAAGGTGGCTATTAAAGAAGCACCTGAAATGCTGGTCTGAATAGATCAGGGAGGTTTTTGTACTGGTTTTTATCACTGTTGAGAGGGGCCCCATACTGCTGGTGACAGTAATAATCACCAGTGCCTTCACCTTCTGCACTGCTGATGGTGAGAGTGAAATCCGCTCCAGACCCACTGCCGCTGAATCAGACTGGGACTCCTGGTTGCCGCGTAGAAGCAAAAATGATGAATGACTTTATAAAAAGTCCTCTGGGTATATTCCCCTGCTATTTTCAGCTCTCTGAAGCCATGTGTTTGTTCAGGGAGTTTCAGAAAATCCACTGAAGTCAGTGGACTCCCTTCCACCTCTGTGGGCTTGGCCTTGAAAGAAGGCCTTTTTAGTGGAGCACAGGCAGCCTGAGGTTAGTGGAGCCCTCTTGGGAATAGTATGGATTTGGTAGGCAGAGCCTCTAGACTTTTAGCTTCTTTTTGCAAGGGAACTTCACTGACAATAAAGCCTGTTCCCTCTTGGTTTCCTCCTTACCATGGATCCAAAGCAAGATTAGCCAGAGAAGTGGAGTCTGTGAAATCACTTTAGGACATCTGACTGTCCCAAAGCTGATCAGCAGGCTGCAACAACTGATGCAGGAGGTTTTAAGCCAGGTCTAAGCAGCACAGGGGATGTCACTTGAGCATGAAGTATATAAATGTAGGTTAGATATGAGAACCTCCATATTATCTAAACATGCAGGGACCAGATGGCCAGGGGATCCGAGGACAAGTGCAGCCTGACAGGGCCAGCCGCTGCTCCCTCACTTTGCACTGGAATGGGCAGTGGTGATTTAAAATGTAGGAGTTTCAACTTTAGAAAACACCATTTACACTCATGAGACCCTTCTATAAAGAACTGATTACAATCATGTTAGATGGCTGGCATCTCTCAGGTGGTATATATCTCACTCAGTTATGTTTCAAAGCAATGATGTTGCGGGGGACAGAACAGAGAGTGCTTATTAATGCCCCTCTGAGCGGTATCATCTAGCATGCTGTTTAAAGTGGTATTTAGACTACAGTACAGGGATACAGGGCTCTGCTTGTAATGTCAGATGGAGCATCAACATTTGTTTCCTCTCTGAATATCGCTTGCATTGCATGATATTGCAAGGGAGGTTGCCATGCTCTGGTTTCTGCAAATAGCCTGTGTGTCTCAGTCTGTTGTATAACTGGATGAGTTGGGTCTACAATGCCGTTGAGGGTGAAGTCAGGGCTGGGCCCACTGCGTGTACATTACTCCTATGGTCTTGAGAAAGCGCTGTAGAGAAGGGATGTTGGGATGGGACAGGATTGTGTTGCTAAGAGGCAATGGAGATCAAAGCCAGCTCCAGGCTTTGAGCTTCATAGGGAGTCTGTCTCCTGGAAACATCAACAGGATTTCTGGAGCTGGAGTAACCAGTGTACTGTCCCTGCAAGGCAGAAGTGTCACCAGCAGAGAGAGACAGTTAAATATGTATGCATTACAAGCCCCTTCTTGCCCTCAGTTGTCACGCAATATCGCTGGGAATTGGAGAAAATTTAGACAAAGGTTTGAGTTGTATTTAGCAGCTATAGGAGCAGCAGAGAAAACTGAAAGTTAAATCATCTGTTTTCCTTCATGTGGTAGGGGAAAAAGTGCTTGAGGTGTAAAACACCTTGACATTTGCTCCAGGCCAACACATGAAGTTAAGTGAGGTACATAAATAAATGTGATGAATATTGTGTGCTAAAATGAAATGAGGCTTTTGAAAGGCGTACATTTTTAATGTGCATGCAAAAAACAGATGAAAGCATGGAGCACTATATCACAGAGCTAAAAAGGCTCAGCAAGACCTTTGTTTTTGGGGATGTAACAGGTTCTCTGATCTGGGATAGACTCATTTGTGGCGTTATAGACAATGGATTAAGAGAGAAGCTGCTACATGAAGGGGACCTGTCCCTAGAAGAAACTATACAGATTTGTAGAGCAGCTGAAACTGTGAAGGCTCAGGCCAAAGAGCAGAATGCAGCTGAGGGGGTTGTCCATGCAATACATAGTAAAGACAAACAGAAAAGGCCACTTCAAATGGAGGTCACCTCAGCTACCACGGCTGCTACTAAGGGGCAGATGGAGTACAGGCAAGCATGCAGCCGACGTGCAATGCAGCAGGGCTCTAAACGGTGTGATGCATTCGGAAAACTGTTTTAATTGTGGAGGAATACTCATTTTGCCAAATGTTGCGAAGTACAAGCCCATAACGTCTGGGTGCATATAGCTGAAGATACTCCAGAGGGAGGCTATTATATAGATACAGTAGAATCAAGGAGAGCTACTGAGAAGGACTGGATCCTGGCACTGGAATTGCATGGGACAATGATACCATTTAAACTGGATACAGGGGCTCAGGTGAACATTTTACTGGAGCAAGATTATAAAAGGCTGAAAATTAAACCAAAACTGAGGCCAACAAAAGTAACCATAACTGCCTACTCAGGAGCAAAGATACTGGTCAAGGGAAAGTCCCTTGCTTGCATCACACATAAAAATGTGGTGCACAATCTTGCATTTATTGTAGTACCTAAGGAGGTGACACCCATTTTGGGCCTAACAGCTTGTGAAAAGCTCAATTTGGTTAAACGGGTGCTTGCATTACAACACTCTGGCTTGGGTTATGAGGACCTTATCTTGGACTATCAAGATTTATTTCAAGGCCTTGGTTGCTTACCAGGGGAACATACAATTCAGATAAAGAAACAGGTCCCTCCAGTTATATACCCATGCAGAAACGTTCCTTTTGTCCTCCGTGATAAACTAAAGGCAGAGCTAAAAAGGATGGAGGAAGCCCAGGTAATAAAGAAAATTGAGGAGCCAACAAAGTGGGTTAACTCCCTAGTTATTCGTGGAGAAGAATAATGGACATCTGTGGATATGCTTGGGATCCAAAGGATCTCAATAAGGCCATAAAGGGAGAACATTTTAAGTTGCCCACCAGAGAAAAGATTATGGCTCAGTTTGCAAATGCATAGTTCTTCAGTAAATTGGATGTTTCTTCGGGATTCTGGCAGCTGAAGTTAACAGAGGAAAGGTCGAAATTATGCACATTCAATACTCCATTTGGAAGGTATCGGTTTCTGCGTTTATCTTTCGGTATGGCTTCAGAGGTGCATCACAAAACTATACATATGATTTATGAGCATAGTCCATGTGTAGATACTGTGTCCGCCTGGCCTCCAACATCCGGTCACGTGCGGCCTTGGCCCAAATGGCCGGTGGTGTTTGCCCTACCGTTTCCTGCAGGCCGTTGAGAAGATGTTTGCTCCTGGAGCGGTCTCTGCCAATCTCTCCTGCCATGACTTTGAATATTCTATCAGTGTCGGGGGGGCTGACCACTCGGGGTCCCTCAGTGGCGAAAAGTCTGTCGGGGGTCTTCTACGGGGCTCCACCTCCCCTACACCCCGACCTCACGCCAAGCCTCGGCAGATCACTGCAGTTTTCCTGGCCGTGCTCCTGACACTGTTATGCCTCTGGTTACATCCACCTCTCCCCTCTGGAGTATTAGCTCCCAGAGGGTGACATGCTTGGATAATGCCAGCTTGCCTGTGATGTCTAACTTGGGTCGTGAGGCTGGCTCCCTTTCCCCAGGGCTCGAAGCCTGACCTGGGTCCCAAGCAACAATAGAGTTCAAAAGAGCTCTGCTGCCATTATCCTGCCTGTGTCACCTGGTGCTGCCCCTCAAGCCCTCCAAAAGGGGGAAACACAAAGAACATACAAAAAAAACACTATTATGTTTCGAGGGACCCGTGCGGTCCCTTCCTAGGTCCTTCTGCCAGGGTACCGCTCACCTGCCTCTCTAACAATTTGTCAGGGAGCTACACCCTATGTGTGGCTGGGGTAGCCCATGGTCTCTTGCCCGGGTTGCCTCCCCCATTACCCAGCCTTCTGTGGATTGTGTCCACACTCCTCATCTCTCCCCTCAATAGCGTTCCTCTTTGGGTGCCTCACAGCACTTCTGCGGATGCCTGCCCACTTCTCACATGCAGTGTCAGTACTCTGCCTCTTGTGGCCTTGCTTCACAGCCCCTTGTGCTGTCCCTGCCTGCTGCTTCCTGGAGGGAGTGTCTCTTCTGCCTCCCTGGTGCCCTCGACGGTCCCACCTATTATAGCATAGAGAGCCATGTCCAGCTCTCCGGCCCCTCCATCGATGCTGCTGGCATCAGAGGCTTCTTCTGGCTCCTCGTTCCCTCCTCCGCTGTTACCGGCATCAGGGTCCTCTTTGGGCTCCTTGTTCCCTCTGCCACTGTTACCGGCATCAGGATCTGCTTCTGGCTCCTCGCTCCACCTGGAGAGTCATCCTGCACGAGGGCAGGGAACTTCTGCAGGTTTTCTCACCCAGAAGGGCTTCCGGGAGGCACCAAGTGTTGATGTCTTCACCAGCCCCGGTTTCTCTTTCCCTCCACCTTCACTGGTGGTCCGCTTTAATCCCGCCAGCCAGTGATTGCTGATGACGTGACCGGTCAGCTTCAGCTGTATGAAGGTGTGGCTCATGATCCGCGCGGGTCTCTTCCCTTGTTCCTGCTGCACTGCGGGTCCTGCTGCAGGTAAGTGTTTCCCTTTTTTATTTTTTGTTTTTGTTTTCTTTTCCTCGGGGGGCTCCTGTCCCCAGGGGTCCCCATTTGTAATTTGGGGTCCTCTCTCCTGCTCTCCCATGGGACAGATACCTCTATGGATGATATCATCATCTGCGGCTCCACCAAGGAAGAGCATGATCATCAGCTCCGGGAGATGTTGGAAGCACCTAGGGCTTCAAATTTGAAACTCAATAGACAGAAATGTGTTTTTGGAGCTACAGAATTGACATTTGTGGGAGACATTATTTCTAGAAAAGGGGTGAAACCAGACAAGAAAAAAATTCCGGCTATTGAACTGATTCGGCTATTGAAATGATAATTTCTGATTGGCCAAAGGACAGGAGTGCCTGTGACTTGAGTGTACGGGACTACTGGAATTGCCAACATGAACTTTCAGTCATCGAAGGAGTTATTTTCCAGGGCAGTAAAGTCGTAATACCACGCACCTTCCAAAGAGAAATGCTACAGAAGATCCAGGAGGGGCACTTGGGTACTGAGAAATGCAAGCAGTGAGCAAGAAAGGTGATGTATTGGCCAAGGATCAATCAGGACATTGCTAAAACAGTTGAAAACTGTTCCACCTGCTTGAAATTCAGACCCTGTCAGCAGGCAGAACCACTAAAGCCACACAGGGCCTATGAGAAGGTGGCACTGACCTCTTTATGTGGGACTCCAGGATGTATTTAATAGTTACTGATTATTGCTCTTTGTCTCTGGAAGTCTGTACACTGCAATGACTGTCTCTTGGAGGCACAAGCATGAATTCTGGAGTCCAAATCCAGGTAGTTTTTGCATTTGAGTCTGAAAAGGTAAATAAGTGAAAAGTGCACAGGGATGTGTGTATGAGAGAGAAATAGATGCAAGGAGAGCTATCTTTTATAAACATTACCAAATGGCTCTTTATGTAGTTCCTATCCTTGAATTTGTCCCCTTCATTCTCTCCTCTTTTTCAGTTAGTCACTTTAGAGCCTAATGCAAAGCCTTCAAAGCCCAGTGAAAGTCTTGTATTCACTGTGCTGGACTTACTGTCAGGACCTAACTACTCTTGAAATAACACAAGGAAATGCAGAACACTCTGAGTAATGTGTGAAGTATTATGGATTAATAACTAAATATATTTAACTCAAAACATAATTAAAAAAATAAAAAATAATATCATTATAATCCCTAAACCCCTAAAATATAGTTTTTCATCACACCGGTACTAGCTTCATGAGTCTCTTCCCCTTGGTACAGAGTACTACCAGTCAGAGGAGCTGAGCCTTTGGGATCATTGTGATGCATCTCAACAACCAGATGCTGATCAACCCACTACAGAGTGGCACACGGTGTTAATAGTAACTTGTTACAGCATCAAAGGGTGCTAGTTGCTTTAATATATGCAAAGTACATGTCTGATCCAAAAATGAGCTCAGAAAGGACCACAAACCAGTTTTAAGGTAACTGTTCCTTAGAGCTGCCTCACTTTATGCTGCAGTGCTGATTATCTGAGTTGAAAGTAAATGAGTACATGTCCTGACTCCTGGTTATTGCTTTTATGCCACAGTGGACTTCAGCTGTCTTTTTACAGTCATTTCAACAAGGGAGAAAATGTGCCCCTCTGTGTAGCACATGTACTCCGAAGGTGACTGCTAAGGAAGCACCTGCCGTGCTGGTCTGAAGAGTGCCGGGAGGTTTTTGCACTGGTTTGTATCACTGTGAGTGGGGTACCATACTTCTGCTGACAGTAATAATGTCCAGCATCTTCAGCTTCCACCCGGCTGATGGTGAGAATGAAATCTGTTCCAGACCCACTGCCGCTGAAGCGGGCCGGGACTCCCGGTTGCCGTGTAGAAGCAAAAGTGATGATGAGTTTAGGAGCTTGTCCAGGTTTCTGCTGGTACCAGGCTAGGAACTCCTTTCCTGCGGATGTGAGGCTGGAGCTGCATTTGCACTTGATGGTGGCGGTGTCTCCAGGGAACACGGCCAGGGACTCTGGAGTCTGGGTCATCACACGGTCTCCACTTGAACCTAAAGGGAAAAACAGAATATAGTTACACTGATCCATTGTACTGTACCCTTTTATAAAAAGCTCTGTGGGAATTTTCGCCTGACATTTTCAGCTTAAGGCAGGCCTGTCTTCATTCAGGGAATTTCTGAAAATCCACTGGAGTCAGTGGACTCCCATCCACCTCTGTGGGCTTGACATCAGGCCCAAATACCTGAAATAGGCTGTTTTTCTCTTTAGAGGAGGAACAGGCAGCCTGAAGTTTGTGGAGTCCTCTTGAGAATAGCAAGGATTTTGCAGGCAGAGACTCTGGGCCTTTAACTTCTTTCTGAGAGGGAACTTTACTGTCAATGAAGCCAGTTCCCTCTTGGTGTGCTCCTTACCGTGGATGCAGAGCAGTAACAGGCAGAGGAGTGGAGCCTGTGAAACCATCTTGGTACATCTGACTGGCCCACAGCTGCTCAGCAGGCTGTAACAAGTGATGCAGGAGGTTTTAAACCCACTCTAAGCAGCACAGGAGATGTCACTTGAGCGTGCAACATGCAAATTTGGGTTTGATATAAGAACCCCCCTCTGATGTAAATGTGCAGGGACCAGATGGCCGGGGTATCAGAGGACAAGTGCAACCAGGCAGGGCTTCCAGCTGCTCTTTCACTGTGCACTGCAATGGGCTTTGGGGCTATTAGTACTACTTGCTTCTCTGTAGTCATGCCCAGTTGGTGCAGTGAAGATCAGGACCCCATTATAGTAAATGCCAGTCAAACCCATAAGAGCATGTGGTCTTTGTTCTGCATTTTATGTTGAAATGGCATTTGCCAACTGTCAATGTGTTGAAGATAAGTAGATGTCAGGTTTGACTGGGAGCAGTGTTCCCAGGTCATCACCAGCGCCTGGATGCCAGTTGAGGTCAATGTGCTTTAGTCTCACAACTGCACTGGAAATATCCCTGTGATGCCATCGATAGTGGGACTTCCTTTGTTGGGGGCAGCAGGAGATGCTGTCTCTGACCTGAGAGCCATTTTTGCCTCTCTTGGGGATCAGCTGAGGCCCTGTTTAATAGATGATGTTTTTTTGGAAATGTAACTGTGAATCTCCCAACAATTCTTGCTTTTTTCCTGAGCATGGGGTAATGGTTTCTGAACTTTGCAGTAAGGGGTTAGACCCCAAAGTCCATATTTAGGTACCTAAAGTAGTTACCTTGATTTTGAAAGCATTGAACTGCAGGTGAAAATTCAGCTCTGTGCTTCCATATGTGGAGTTGGGTGGCCATTGCTCAGAAAGGGACCTTGTTGGAGTATGATTTTACATTCAACCTCCTTGTCCATGTGCCCACAAAAAAAAGTTGGAAAGCTCAAGCTGGCTGTGATAGATTGCTATTCCTTGAATGGAGAGATTTACGCCCTTTAGCTCAAGCTTCACAAGGCAGGGACCTGTGGGCCAGGCATCAAGTGGAGAAGAAGAGGACATGTTATAATATACTGCCTGTGTCCCAGACTTAGGCAGCAGGTTATTGAAGCCTGCAGTTGCACGTTGAGCGTGTCTGTTCATGTGGGATTCTGGGGAAGGTCCTTCCTACTTCCGGTATCAAAAGAAAAATACCTAACATAAAAAAATAAAGAAGGAGGAGATCTTTTTTCCCCCTCTTCCTCTACAACTTCCCCGTTTTTCTTGCTAATGACAGCATCCACATCTCTTCCTTTGTTTGGGGCCATTCCACCTTCTTCACCTCCATGGTGAGTCCAGATCCTGCTGTTTTTCCCCTTATGGCAGACTGGGAACGTGCCCTTCCCGTCCAGATGGGCATAATACGTGAAAGTCTTCATGCCTGTAATGCGCTTTCCTGTTGGACTTCCCCAAGCCTCATGTCAAGGCAAAAAACAGCCACCAGAACCACCTTTCTCACTCATCAACACTAAAATAAAACCTCCCCTTCATACCCTCTGTGTGTTAAATTCAAGCTTCTCATCTTGGTCTTGAAAGACCTGTTCAGATTTACTTTGCTTTGGACTGTATCTCCCGCTGAAGCCCTCTACGTCCTTTTCTCTCCCAAGTTATAGCACCTTGATTTCTTTTTCCCCTTCCAACTTCTATCTCGGTAGTTTTATCCATGTAGTCCCCTGTAATGGAGTGATCTCCTATCATCTCAGTTTCCTTAGTGGTCCCTCTGTGCTCATTTAAACCTGCCCAAAAATCTTACCACCTCCGTGCTGCCAACAGACTTTACATAGCAGTCCTGGAGGACTCTTCCCCCATTCTGCATCATTTTGTGTGCCGTGATGGTGCCAGATCTGCTGTCATGTGTGTCTGTTTGGTCCCCGCAAAAGGGCAGTCAGATCCTTTACAAACCCTCTGAGCTACTTTGCAAGTTCTCCGTAATGATGCAAACTAAAATCATCAGTTATGTTAACTTCTAAGGTACCTTCCTACACTGTTCTCAGAAGCCCGAGAGTGCCCCTGCTTTTGCTTCTTCCTCTCCCTCACAGACCCCATGGGCTTACTCTTTCTTCCCTGTATGGAGGAAGTTTGGATGTATCCCCAGTGCCGCCTATTGGCAGATTTCTATAGATTTACCTCAATGGGTGACAAGAGCATCAAACCTTTTTGCATTGCTGCATCTGCAGCTTCTGGATGCCCTATTCTTCAGGACCTCCCGATGTCCCCCCATATAGCAGTGGTGCCAGGAAAGCACCGTGCTGGCCATGTCTGGTCACACTCTGAAATGCACACATGGTGTTTTGTGTACAGTGAGGAAAACGTGGTGCTTGCTGTATAGGAAGAACATCAATTAATCTCCAATAGATGTACACCTAGTTTAGATGAAGGGAAATCCTGTACTTGGAAACAAATGCCTCTACCTCTGGCTTGTTCTTACTGTGCTTCTGTAAGAGGTATCCGTGGCTCATGTAGCAATTTCTTATTGTTACATTTACTTCGGATGACACCTAGAAGTTCAGATGGTTGCATTTGTAGGGGAAGTGCTGCCGTCTGTTGGCCATTAATTGGAAGCTCATTTTCCGTGGTTCCATCACCTACTGCATTCTGTCTAGGGCTGAAAATCCCCATGAGATTCCCGCTGCTCAAACTTTTCTTTTGCCACAAATAAGAATAAAATGTCAGCCTGTGGAAGTTGTTCCAGACTAAAATATACATTATAGGTTTTAGAACATCAGAAACATTTCAAAAAGAAACATTTCCTAAGTTCAAAACAATATATTATGGTCATAACATAGTTGAAGTAAAAATAGCCCATTTTAATTTTCAATCCTTTAAACATCCATTCATCTTTTTATCAAAATCTACAGCTTAAATTTTAACCAAATGGCTTTGATGGAAAACATGTGAATAGAAACCTTGTTAACCCAGTCTAGCTATAGTTTGGCATGGACAGCTAAAATGTTTGGGACATATACATAGATATTTTAACTTATACATAAGGTGGTATGAGGTGATTTAAAATGTTTGAATTTAAACATTTGAAACTACCATTTACACCCGTGAAACCACTCTACAAAGAATTGGTTGCAATCATGTCAGGTGGCTGGCTTCTCTCAGGTTGTATATATCTCAATTATGTTTCAAAGCACTGTCACATCCTGTGATTGGGGAGGAATAGGGCAGAGAGTGGGTATGAATGCCCTTCTGAGCTATATCATTTAACACTCCTCTAAAACGTTATTTGGACTACGGTAGAGGGATGCAGGGCTCTGCTTCTGATGGAGCATCAACATTTGTCTTCTCTCTGAATGTCGCTGATACTGTACAAGTAATCAGAACCCCTAGGGAGGTGATATCTTTTATTAGACAAACTAGATCCAAAAACATTCCTTTACTTGCAAGCTTCTGGGTACATGTGCCCTTCCCCCTGCACATGGGAGTGCAAAGATTGTAAAATTTCTCCCAGGTGGAAATGAAAATTCATATTTAACAGGAGAGCTGAAAGGTGGTGCCCAAAGACTTGCAAATAAAGGAATTATTTGCAACTATCTAGTTGATCTAATAAAAGATATCACCTCCCCAAGACTTCTGATTACTTTTGCTTGCAGACCAACACGGCTACAACCTGCATCACTGACAGTGTAAGAGAGGTTGCCATTCTCTGGTTTCTGCAGGTAGCTTGTGTATCTCGGTCTGTTGTAGAACTGGGTGAGTCGGTCTACAATGCAGTCGAGGGTGAAGTCGGGACTGAGCCCACTGGGTGTACATTACTCTTATGGTCTTGGGAAAGCACTGTAGAGGAGGGATGTTGGGATGGGACAGGATTGTGTTGCCAAGAGGCAAAGGAGATCAAAGCCAGCTCCAGGCTTTGAGCTTCATAGAGATTCAGTCTCCTGGAAACATCAATAGAGTTTGTGGAGCTGGAGTAACCAGTGTCCCCGGCGTAGTCTTGTTGCTCCCAAGTGACATCTCACTAACTCCTGAGTGACACAGCTATGCCAGCCACAGTCTGCAGTGAAGACCTGGTGTTAGCAGTTATTTGGGTACATCCCAAATATAGCCGAGCTGTGTGGCACCAATTAGCCGAATGCTGAGGCCCCGAGGAAACCCCTGCCCCATAGCAGGGTAGCGGTTGCACTGCTAAAGTGACAGTCCAGGAAGCAGCTGTGCCAGTGAAGAGAAAGGCCCAGGCAGGTTTTTGTACTGGGTTGTATCACTGTGTGGGGGTGTCTTTGTACTGCTGGCAGTAATAAACTCCCTCATCATCTGCTTCCACCTCACTGATGATGAGGGAGAAGCCGTGCTCAGTCTCTTGGCCACTGAACCTGTCTGCGACTCCCATTTCCCGGGTCTCAGCGTCATAGATGAGGAGCCTGGGAGGCTGCCCAGGTTTCTGGTGGTACCAGGCTAAGAGCTCATAGTGCGTCATCCCCAGCTCTGAGAAATGAAGGCTGGAACTGGTCTGGCAGTGGATAGAGACTCTGGGTCCTGGAGCACCCGCAGAGCTCATAGTGCGTCATCCCCAGCTCTGAGAAATGAAGGCTGGAACTGGTCTGGCAGTGGATAGAGACTCTGGCTCCTGGAGACACCGACAGGGCTTGTGGAGTCTGAATCAGGGAAATGGACCCCTTGGAGGCTGGAAATGTAAAAACTGGGAAGTAACACAGTGCACCCATCCACCCCGCTGTCCCAATTACAGCTCAGCTCTACGTGCTCCTGCCCCCATTTCCTGCTTCAACTTGAGGAAGGGCGGCTTTTCCCCTTGAATGTAAGTCTAGAAAATGACCTTGAACTGCTTTTCCCCTTATGAAATCTATGAAGAGACTCCAGCAATCAAGGGAGAGACCCAAAGGGTTTCATACCTTTAAATGGCTCAAATCAAAAACCACACTGACAATAATTCCCCTGGGTGGTTGTATTGCATTTACAAAAATATTGCCGGTATGGGCCAATCCCACAGGCAAGCTGTGTTTGATATTTGTGGTTATTTTGGAGGAGAGAAAAGCAGAGTTGTAGTCGGAGCAAGTGATACAGATCA